ATTAATATTATTGGATTATATCCAGATGTTTAAATTATCATTTTAACCTTAGGACTATTTTATTTTTAAAGTAAACTTTTCAGAATCTTTTGTATTTATTTTTATAGCTAATTCAGTATTACTATAACAGAACCAATACTTATAATCAGAGTTATATTATTTAACTACTATATTCTTATAAAGTTTATTTGAACTCTAGCATCTACTTTACAACATAACTTCAATACTTTAGTATATCTCAGTTTTTTTACAAAACTTTTAATTCAAATAACTTATATAAGACTATAACTAGTATATCAGTATATCAAGTTGATCTAATATTTTTTTTTTTAATTTATTCTAATAGCCTAGTTGGTAGTACTTCTAAGCCTTTCTTAACTCAGAGATTCTTGCTTATTCAGATATTATGATCTTGGTATTTGTTTTCTTAAACTAGTCTTTACAATAACACTATCAAAAATTCAGCTACTTTTCTATTTGAGTCTTTTTAAATAAACTTTTTGTTACCTAATTTTAACAGATTTATATAGTCACAAGAACTTATTTAGTGTTTGCACTATTTGATTGTTGGTTTGCATTCTTCTGTATAATGCTATATTTATACAGATGCCTATAACCTGTCAGTCATACTAGTGCAATCATTATTACAAGTATTCTAATTCAATCATTAATAACAATTATTATAATACAAATATTATATAAATAATTATTCAAATTTTTGTTATCAATGAGATTTGAATATCTACTATTTGAAAGGTTAACAACCTAATCATTTTACTAGATCATTATACTTTAATATATATTTTTTTTCTTATAATATAAAATTAAATACTGTTATAATATAATTCTTATTTTAAAATATTATCAAATAATATTTTATTTAAATATTTTAAAATTTAAAAAAAATAGACCATAAGCAATTTTTTAAACAAATTGTTTAAAAAAGCTTACAAATTAAGGAATAATATGCTGTATGTCTGATTAATTTCATGTTTAAATAATATTATAATAATATTTAGATATTATTTGGTTTGCAATATCTAAAATTAAAGTATATTAAGTATTTTTTTATAAGTTTTTATATTACTATTTGTTAAATAGTATTTCAAGTTTGTCTGTTTATTAATGTAATTCCATTTTTGTTTTTATACTTCTTAATAGCTTTTCTAAATAGGTTTGTAAATTTAATCTGATAAGCAAGTATAGTTTGTCTATTTTTTATAAAAAAAGCTAAATCTAGATACTTAAATTTAAGATATATTGCTGCTAGAATTTGATATTTTATTAATTGTTTTTAATTTGTATTTTGTTATGTTTTTTTTTTATTTTTAGATGTTATTTAATGATGTAATTATTTTGTTTAATGACCAGATTGTTGTATTGAATTTTTTGACAATCTGCAAGTCTAACTGTTATATTATATATTTGGTTCAACTTTGTATTTGCATTACAATTATATTATTTTTAGTATTTATTGGATTTTTTATATTTAGTTTTAATATATAATTATAGAACTTGTATTAGTTTGCATTATTGTTATTGTTTATATTGTAATTTTTAAATATAGTCTTCTATTGATATTATTTTTATACATCTGTTTTTCTATATTTTTTATATTTATATTTTTGTTATTTTTTTTTTTTTTTTTAAATATTAAAATGAGTACTTGTGACTCAGAATTTTATTAATAGTATATTTGGCTAATAGTTGCATTACAACCACAGAAAGCAATCATAAGAAGAGTATACAACTAGTCACTTGTATAACTTTAGTTATTGTCTAATTTAAGTAGTCTGCCTGAAGATTCTACATTAGCTACCATACCTAGAACCTGCTTATAGGTTTTCTATTTAACTACTTTAGTTTCTGTATTCACCTACTTATCTCTGTCTACCAATGACCCTAACCAATGCTAATGAAAATATGCTATAGCTACTAAGTTTTTAAAGCAGTTCTTTGAAACCTTTGACCTTGTACTAAACCTTTCAGAATCTTCTTATTTCATTCTTTTAGCTAATCTGGTATCACTATAACTGAGACCAATACTGGTAATCAGGACATATCATTAAACTGTTATGCTCTTGTAAAGTTTACTCTAATCTCAGTACTGACTTCACAATATATTCTTACTATTTTGATATTTAATTCAAGTTTTATTAAGCTACTATTTCAAATAGTTTAGAAAGATAGGTTATAACTATATGTCTTTGGTTTATATGTTTACTGGCATATACTTTTTTCTTTTGAAATTTAGAAATTCTGGTAACCTGATTGGTTCATTCAGTCCCTTCTCAAAGACTGATATATTTGCCTAGTTTCACAAGTTCTAGCTCTATTTCATAAGTTTAGTCTTTACAGTAGCACAGTTAAAAGTTTAGATTATCTCTTTATTCAGGTCTTTCAAATAAGCTTCTATCTTCTTACTTGGTTTCTGTAATTTATATAGCCTAAGAACTTATCTTAGATTCACACTGCCTGGTACTAGTTAGAGTTTCTTTATACAATATTATATTAGTCATACTGATATAACATAAGTTACAGATATCTAATCTTAACAAATTATAAAAAACAGTTAACTGTAATACAGAAAGAATTGCAAACTTTTGCTATCACTGGGATTTGAACTCTAGATCTGCCACTTGGAGATTGAAAACCTATTTACTTTATTAGATCACCACACCTATGTTTTATTTAAGATTTTATTATGTTAAATAATTTTATATCATTAATAAAAATGTAGAGCATAACAAAAGACATATAGTTTTATAATATGACTTTATACATTTTTCTAACAATATTTTTGTTATTTATTACAATATTATTTGTATAGTTATTATTGTTTCTAATTATAACTATTGTTGTTTTATATAATATCATGTTTTATTAAAAATAAACTATTTTGCCTATTTTTTGAAATTTTTATATAGTGTTTAGTAGAGTATAAAAAGTTGAAACATTTTCTTTTAGATTGCATATAGGTTGTTTCTGTATTTGAAATGTTTTGTTTTGTTTTTAAATATTTATATTTTGTCTAATACTTCTTGATATATATACTAATATATATTCTACTTCTTGTTTTTAAAACAGGTCTACTTTTACCAAGCTTACAAAAAACTTTTGTTAGTTTTAATACTTGTTTTAATGTTTAGTATAATAGTTAATGTTGTTGTAAGAGTTTGTCTTTTGTATTTGTAATTGTTTCTTGTATATTACTTAGTTTATTTAAATTCTATTTATTATATTTTAAAATTTTTTTTTATTTTGTTTATTTTTTTAATGATTATAAAAAAAGTATGGTTGATATAATTTTTAAACTATTACTACCTATTACTTTAACTTATTTTCTATAGAATAATTATCTAATTCTATTCAAATTTTATATTTTTATTAAAAACATTATCAAAATTCAAGAACTTTTATCCTGATTTATACTTAAATACTTTCAAAATATCTTAGAAATTAACTTTTAACTTTCAAATAATCAAATTTATAATAAAATTTGACATACAAAAATACTTTTTTTATATTAATATTCTTATTGATAACCTATCTATTATAAAAAATTTTAATATTTATAACATATTCTTACTACACAAACCTCAAAGATACACTTCATCTTATACTTTATATAAACAATTTTATTAATATTAATTAAGTAATTCTTAATATAATTTAATTAATACTTATTTTCCTTTAAATATCTAATAACTTAATACTATCTATTTTCAATATAATTATAAACTTTACAATTAACTTTACCAACCTAGACTACCAATCAATTTTATATATCTTATTTGGTATCTTTTTATTTTTTTTATAACAATCTACAACAACATCAAAACTTTTTTAAATAAGCAAACAAATAACTTTTTAATTAATCTTATCAACAATCTTTTTACTTAATATTATTAAGATTTATGATTTACACATTTTTTAACATTAATAGAAACTTTTTTGAAATATAATTTCTAAAACCAAATGTAAAAAAATTTACTTTCTTATAATATTTATCCTTATTAACAATTTCTTAAGCTCTATATAATCTATTAATATTACATATTTTATTAAAAAATAACATCTACAAGGTTACTTCTTAACCATATGCTTTATATAATGTCTTAACTTTCATCTAAGGTTTCTTTCAACCTATTTTAACTAGAAAATAATTTAAAATAGTTATTTATGATACTCAATAGAAAATAAGAGTGTAATATCACATTGAATGTCTTTTTTTAGCAACACAAATGTAGTTTAAAAATCTTTATTTAAAGAATTTTCTTTTATAATTAAATTTTTACTTTGTATTTTAAAGTTTCTGCTATGACATTATATAAATAAAAAAATAAATAAAAAATAAAAAAGTTTTATAATTTACATTACAAAAAATATTTTCCATCAAGTTTATATATAATTTTAAAATAGAACTACTATCTTTAATTATGTAACTATATCAGAATAATTTATACGAATTTGAACAATCGTTCCTGTTGCAATCATCATTCCTTTAAATCTATGGCAATTATCAGTTTTATAAGAATCATTACGACACATTTATAAAATATAAAAATTTTGACTACTAAAGCCAATATGTGATACTAATCTTTGACTATACTAATCAATATCCCAAGTGGGGGGTACATCATTATATATAAATTTATGCCTATTGAGGTGCGTCAAAATGGGTTATATAGCGAGGAAAATGAATAGACACAATATCAGAAATCCAAAAAATTTAGCATTGATCGATTAATATATAGTTTGGCTATTAAAATTTAAGTTGGAACTAGTACTTGAATCGGTGAGCTTTGTCTGACAAATGCGCCGTAATGTGATTATAACCATTTTATTTTAAAAATTTGTAAGTTTTTCACTATAAAATCTAAAACCATTAATAGTTTCTTAAATCAATTATCAAATGAAAATTAACTAATAGGCACAACTTTACGGAAACTATTATTTAAATTTTGTCAAACAATGAATCCAGTCATGTATCGTAGTAATCAAATTTCATAGTGCAAATCTTTTAATGACGGGATTGCACTATCTGAATTCCATGACGAATGTGGCGGTTGGGCTGTATAATGCTGTATACTCTTAGATTCTTCGCGCGGTGGCAATTGTGGCTGTTGCTGTTGTGGAACATCCGGTTGTTGTTGTGTTTGAGAGGACTGTTTAACTATCTTACGAATCAATTCCAAAGAATGTTCAACGTTGAATTCTGAATATCTTGCTTCATAATATTCTTCTGTTTGGTCTCGCATTTTCTCATACTCCGGATCTGGAGGGAGAAGAAGGTCGATCTGAACGTCATTAATCATGGCTTCATAACGCGTCAATGATGACCTTTTTGCTTTTTCAAATTGTTCAGTTCTATCTCCATTTGTTTTTGAGGTTGGTGAATCATTTATAGAAGCCTTAATGGATTTCCTAGGAATAAATTCTGTGGCCGATGAGGATGCATAATCATAAGCAAATTTTATATACTTTAGCTGTTAAAAAAAAAAAAAAAAAAAAAAAAAAAAAAGATATACAATGAACTACCTTTTCTACTTTTTCTGGCCTCCTCTTCTGCTCTGCGTGAATCTTCTAAATTTTTTAATCGATTTCGCTCGTTAACACGAGCCCACGAATCTTGTTTAGGGGAACGAGAAGTTTCTGAAATCATCCTATCTATCTCTGCAAGGCGTGTGGCATAATTTTGTGCATCTGTTTTATTTCCCTGAGCAACAGCCAAGTTCTTTTGTGTCACTAAGTTAGTTTTCTCGGTTAATAAATTTACAGGTTCAACCCCTCCACGAAGTGTTTGCTTTTGCTTGATCATGATGTCAACATCTTGCTAATATTCAGTATTCAAACATTTTCAGACAAATTTTAATGCATATATTCATGTAAAGTACATATAAACTATCGTAGGCTTTACCTCTGATAAAATATAATCATCAGCAGCTTTAATCTGTTCTTTCTTTTTTGTTATTGCTTCTTTTGTCGGCAAGTCAAGTTTTTTAATTTTCATAGTAACTGTCCAACGGTCAAACTCGGACTAACAAAGGCATAAATTGAAGTATAAATATATTTATTTATAGTGTTAAACAACCTTTTATAAAACACAAACCTGTTCAAACTTCCCGTTCGAAATAATGTTCATTTGCCAACTTTTTACAGCATCAGCATGTTTAAGACGTAATACTTTATTAGTCTTTACCTTATCATTCGCATCTATTAGATATGGTTGTACCCTTTCTGGTACCTCAACACCTATGAATGCGAATTGTAAGTACACTTAATTAATAAAAATACAACAATAAAGTAACAACTAAATATAATAAGAGATATAAACATACCTACAATCTCACAAACACGATAGATTTGTTTACCATTTTGTAATCCAATATGCAAACGAACGAAACAACCAGTTACAATTTTTTCGAAGAAGGGCTTATAAACCCAATCACTGAATTGATGCCTGGTTAATTGTATATCTCTAATATCATCAACTGTAATACCCTAAGAATAAATGTTAAAAAAATTTTTTTAAAAAAAATAAAGCAAATGAATAATAAACAAAATAAAATAAGATCAAAATTTATTATGTTACTCACATCAGAATCATCATCCTTATTTTGCTCCCCTCTTTCATAATCTTCATAAAACACATCATCTTCGTCACCGGTTGTAACATGTTCTCCGGGTTCTGGGCTCAGTGATCCCTTTTACAAGGAGTCAAAGATCAGAGATCTTTTGTTTTATAGTGAAGATTAGTGACAGAACATTAGGTTGACACTCACAGCTTTTGTTCTCTGATTTTTTTGCGCTCGTCGACGTTTAAGTTCTTCGATACCTTTCTTTTTTGTGTCTTTTGTTCTAGAAGATCCTTAGATATTTCGAAAAATAATATTGACATTTTATGAGTTTGGTAAATTTTATTCTACTTTGATGATAAGATAAAAAATTCACACTTCTTGTTGAAGAAACGTCTTCAAGATTTATCATTAATTGTACAGCTTCCAAATCTTTATGGTGTTGTATCTGAAGCCAAAACGACAAAAGTCAATATAAAATTATGAATGTCCTAATTATGAATAACCACTGATGCCTACTTTTTCGGCTCTTTCAGCCAATATTCTTTCGCGATCGAGCTCAACAAGATTCTCCAACCTTCATAAATGGATAAATTTAAAAAAAATTTTTAATGAATCGACGGACGAATGTATGTACCTATCTCGATCATCCTCATCATGGTATAATTCGGAATCAAACTCATCGGTATCTCTTCGTCTTTCGTTGCCCTCACCATCTTCCTCCGAGTATCCTCCACGACGAGGAGGTGTGGTGGACCTTCTTCAAAATACATAAAGAAAATAAAGAGAGAGAAAGAAAGAAACATTGAAATAAGTATTTTGAAAAAAAACTAATTAATTAAGTATAATAAAATTAATAATAGAAACTATTTCTTGATTCAGAGCTCAACGATCTTTCTTAAATTTGCTTAATCTCACCCAAAATTCCGTTGGTGTGGCATTTTTTTGAAGTGGAAAGAAGAAAACGTTTTGAAAGTTTGATTTCTGAGTGGCGTTTTCTTGAACAGTATTTATAAGTTTACGCAATAACATATATAGCCGAATTTTTGATACACCATATGACTAACATACCCATATGTTTAATATTACATATTACTTATGTTATATATTTCTATAGTACTATGTATATAATATAACGGTAACCTAGTAGACTATATTATTGTACTAACGGTTGCTTACTTTCGTTTTTGGCTGGAAGTTCTAGTAGGTCGTTTTTCTTCATGGGCGTATGTATTACTAGCAGACGGTTCAGGTTGTAGGTTGCTTAACCTTTCGTTCTCTTCGTCTCCAAAAAGTTCGAGAATGTCATCTAGCACTTCGTCGTCTTCACCCATTTTTTTTGATTTTTTTTTTACTTTTTATTTATTTATTTTTTTTTTGTGATCGTTAGATAGATAATTTACTAATATTTAAGTGAGTTAAGCTCGGAATTTACGTTGAGTAGAGTTTGATAAATTTTTCTGAGTTTCAAAGATTATGTCGATATGTTTATATGTGATTTCGGTAACTATTAAAGTTATCCTTGATCAATGAAAATCTTGCCTTTTCGGCTTGTAATACACACATAGTAGTAGTTAACAAATAATTCCTTGCATTGGTATTAATTGGTATTAATGATTTAAATTTCAATTGACTAGGGATGCTGAATCTTAAATGATTCCATTAGAACCCTTTAAATTAACCGAGTTAATCAAAATTCCACATACGTACATGGTAAACGTCGGCCCTCGCAATTTTTTTAGAATACTGTATATAAACTAACGTAACATTATTATATCCTAGCGTAAGAAATCAATCTAATTTGACATTTTTGTAGATCATTCTAACAAATTTGTCCGCGGCAAAATATCCAACAGCGCCTTAAAATATATATTGCTAAGTATAAAAACGATAGATTTGTCAACACAGACAAAAAATTAAATCTACCTACCTAACATTATAAACAAACCAGCACAAATTATTGCGGTATTCCCAAAGTAAAAAGTAGTCTGAAAAAGACCATACATTCTAATTAAAAGAAAAAAAAAATTAGATACCATATTCTTTTTCATTATAATTTATATACATTTAAAAATTCTTACTTTGTTCGATTAATGAAATAATATATAGCATAAAGATATACATAGACAGCAGTTGAACCACAAGTCAAGAAACTCATCCAATGCCTATATATTTTAGGAAAAGGATATGTTAATGACTAATAACGGTTTTTCATAAGTAATTATCAGAATATGAACACGAACCATCGATGATCTTCGTTATTAAGCAATATATACGTACTGACTATAGTGACACAGGCAGTGATTATCAAGAGAATAATGAAAACAAATAACATGAAACCGTATACATAATAAATTTTATATGCCCAAAATGATGAGAAAATAAAATAAATCTCTATGAAAATTGACGCGAATGGGAGAACACCACCAAGAGCGACTATCACAAGGGGTTCAGCGTACCTAAAAAGTTTATACAGATTAAAACTAATCAAATAAATGTGGATAATGAATACGTCAGAATTTTCAGCAGAATTTACCAAATTTTCTCGGGAATAGGTCGTGGAATAGGGTTAACACGGCAAGGAAAATTTGGTTGACTTGCCCAATTACGACAAAGGATTGCCCCCAGGAATGCCAACGGAAATGAAAGAAACAGCCAGGTTGCAAAAATTGCTAGCTGTGGAAATTGATTGAATCGCATATATAATAAAAATTAAATCCGTAATGACGTTTAAAAATGAACATACCATAGCTGTGAACGGGATTGCCCGCGAACTAGAGTAATATACGGCAACAAAATTTATCATAGCTGTCATAATACTGAGTATTCCAGGCCATAAAGTAGCAGTTACAAGAATATTCTTTATCCAATTACGACCTTTAAAAGTACGATGAATAACGCGTTGACACCATCGTAAAAGAAACGCATTTAAAGAAAACATTCAGATCCATACCTCCATAAATCTGATATGTGTTCGCACTGGAATACCCTGCAACGACGGATGTCAAGGTATAAAAAAATATTGATGCCGTCAGTATAGTGGCACGCCTAATACAAAGAAATAAAATAGTAAATTTAATAGTTATAAAAATTGATCGTTGTAAAGATTGTTTTGATGGCCCGATTTTGGATCACGAACTACGTCAATCCAAATTTGAAATTAAAATATTCACTCTGCATATAAATCTCCAATTATTATATACAGAATAATAACCAAAGTTAGCCACATCAACTGGTGACCAGTACCGACTAGAGCTGAAAACAATAATAATGAACGCGGTGCACGAAAAACGTCGCCATGAACTTGCTTCCAACCATATTCATCGCCAAGGTCATGATCCTTAAATAAATTAATAAAATAAACCGTCATACATAAATATAATAGTGGGTCCACGGATCTTAAAAACTAAATCGTACCAAATCACCAAGTGCCTCCTCTTTATCATATCTGGCGTAATCCTTTTTCAGCATACGCAACAATATGACACTAACAAAACCAGCTAAAAGCATGACCATGAGAAACGAATTGAAAATAGAAAACCAATGAATCTATAATAAAATACATATACACATTGTGTTAACCCAAAATTTTCGCACATTATTAACAATGAAATAACTTACCTTGTGCTCAAAAAATTCTGTATCTAATAATTTGTCGAATCTCGAATCAAACGAGTCTTCAGTAGGTTCCCATGTTACTGAATATGAAAATCGTATCGGTATGTCTCGAGTCTCCCAAAATAACTTGACCGGATTACCACTTTCAAGTCTTACTTGGATTATCTAAAAGAGAATCCAATGTTAATAACATTATTATACGAATATAAATACATATGCAGATATTGCAGTACCTTATCATTATTATAACTTATTACAAAATCTCTATGCGTATACAAGAAAGCATCACCAGTATTTGCGTCAAGCTCTCCGACGAATCCTAATGATGAATGTGATGAGTCTACTCAGAAATCTTATTATTTCTGTTAAAAATGGCGTGGAATAATATTTACCCCAAACTGGCAATTCATCTAAGTCCCGAAACCAAAATAAAAAAGAAATTTGATTGATATCGGAGCATTTTGATTTAGACACAACAGTTTTTGTGACACAAATACTATTTACCTAAAAATAATTGATACCAGTAATTATTGGAAACAGCATAACGGAAAAGATTGACATCCTTTGCCGTTAATCCTTTATCACAAATAGTGACATTTTCCACTTTTACTAAAAAATAAAGAAGAGCTTCAGAATATTTTTCATGTAATGCAAATATGTTATTTTTGAACAAACTAAATGTGCCAAAAAAATTATTTCTACACAATTTTTTAAATAAAGTATTCTCCAAAAGTCTTTAAATATAAAAATTGACACGCACTATCTAACTTGACAGATGTAATTTAATAACTCCGGTAACATTTCTTTCCTACGAACATTCAATTACTATCGTCAATTTTGCCCTTAAATATGTATAACACATGATGCGCACCAATAAGAAATAGATATCACATCTCCATACTAATTATATCCATTAAAATGAAAAAAAACTTACCCAAAAACTTCATGCCAATTCCAGAATTCACCAATTCCATGCCTATAACATGGGTCATATTCAGATTTTATTATAGAATTCTTATGTTTCAATGAATAATGAATACTTGCCTAACAATGCTTCTCCTAATGTTTCATGATGATGTTCTATAAAGTGGTTGAAACATATCAATTATCATTAAAGTTTGTCACATCCTTTTTTTTTTTTTTGCAAACATCCATGTTGAATCATAAATCCACTTTTTTATTAACAAATGCACAAGTACCGGAAACATGGTCTCCCTGACAGTACGGAAGCTGAAAATATTCATAGGTTTCTTGTCGATTCGATTTAGGCCCAACTGTATTTACCCATATTATCACATCTTCTTCATTTTCGTACTATAGATCTCGGTAAAATGTACAAACATGATAAGTAAAGCATATAAGCAGTTGAACAACATATTTACTGTATTGAATTACCGTATGCGCATGTTCATCAGCTAAGACAGATATCACGTAAAAAAGTAATAGTATAACGGCCCAACCTTTTATTATTTTCATTAGAATTGATAAATGAAAAGAATGTTATTTATGACATCGAAGCAGCCCCAGCATTGCCGTAAAAAAGTTACTGTCACATGATGATCGATGGTGGCTTATCCAATAGCGAGTCTCGCTTTAGTGAAACGTAATACAGTCAGATGTTTTTCCATATTTGGCATTTCCAAATATAGTAATGATTTTCACTGCATCACGGCATAACGATGTTCTAGAATTTAGCAATAAATCTTAACATTGATTGGCTACATAATACATATTACAGTATTACAGTATTACAGTATTATTTGTCCGGAGCGTAGCAAAGGACACTATATTACACAGTCACGGATATTTCCAAATTTGATTTCGTGTAACATACATATTCTAGGATTTAGAAGATTATTGATAATCCAAAAAAATAAATCTGATTGGCTATCTTTATAAATCTAATTTTTTTTTAAAAAAATTTTAATAATTTTTTTTGATATAAAACGATAATTTAAAATCTATAAACGTATATTTATATTAGTATTTAAAGATATGAAGATTTAGAATTCACTAAAGTTACACTTGAATTCACTTATTTGTATAAGTTATACTTATTTAAAAAATAGATAATTTGTTAAAATTTTAACATCTAACGTTACTAAGTTATGTGAAATTTTAAAAGATATTTTATATTATTTTAAACTGTACTTATATTTTGAAGCAATACTTTTATTTAATATAACATTAAATTCAAAAAAAAATCAATATGTTAGTATTGCTATTTGTTAATGCAGTAATAAACTTATGATTTTATTTAAAAAAATATGAGAAAGTTTTATAAAATTTTTTAAACAAAACTTATTCAATCAGCATAGTAAAACTAGGACTAGAAAATCTATTATAGGTTCCTGTCACAAAAAATTCATTGCAAATTAGGTTTTTTTATAATTAAACAAATCAAGTTTACTATTATCTTTAAGAAACTAACAGTAATGCAAATTATTTTAGTTAAACTGCTAAGCTCTTTTAGATTTTTTCAAAGCTTTATTTCAATTATTGTTCTGATTTTGCTTATATTTTACATTCGTTGATTTTTATTTGGAATATTTTGGTTTTGTATTTGGTTTTATAGCAATTTAAATTAATAATATTAGTAATTTGTTATGTTCTATATAAGTGCTGTTATGGAAAAAAGAAACTTTTTTTTTTTTTTTTTTTTTTTTTTTTTGAAATGCCAAAGTAGAAACTTTATTAAGTAATAGAAGAATTACAT